GCACTACAAGAATAAGAATAAACAAGGCCGGGACCCACAATAAAGGCAATGCAAGAAACTTCAAATACTAGAATAAACAAAACCCCAAACTCAGGTGTATTAACTATGGATACAAACTCAACCATGTGACGCATCCCAGGGGTTCATAACATTTCCCTTTTCTGTTGTGTCTTGGATGCATTTTTAACGTAACCCTGCTATGTTTGAAAACTGTCTTTGAAGTCTAAAGTCTCTGAGGATAAGAAGTGTGTGCTTCTGTAAAAGTGTAGAGTCTGTCTGTACTGTATATCACATTACCACACCAAAATCCTAGACCACACCACTTATATGGCCACACGCCGTGCTTCTTAGGGTTTAACCAGATGGTCGCCACAAATGTTACCAGATGAAGGGAGAGCAAGGGGAGTGAGCATGCTCTACCAAGCAACCTAAAGTCATGTTTGCTCCATACATGGTGAAGTCACGGCTCACTCTTACTTTTCACATAGGAACATGACTTGATTGCCAAGGACAGAGGCATTTACAAAAACACATAAATATGTGGCCCTTCTATAGTAGCGAAGCCCATATGGTTAGAGGTTGCGGGTCTCTGTTGGCAGTTCCTTTGCGCGCGTTTCATATACGAAGAGTTGGAAGGTTTATGGAGGACTTGCAAGTCATGGCTCTGCAAAAACACAGAGGGGGGACTGACAGCTCCGTTTGGGTGGGGTGGTGCTCAGCTCACAGACATCTGGTTGTGGTTTGTTTATGTATGTTGCCAGTGGTCTCCTCCACCAGGCAAGAGCCAGGGCCTGCAAATGTGCACATGTTTATGTGAGGTATATAAGCTGAAGTGAGTGTGTGATGTGGGTGTGTAAGTGTGCACTACATGTGCTTGTAATTGGAGTTTCGTAATATTGAGTGCACCAAACCTTTTTGAGTTCAGAATCCTTAAAGGAAAAATTACCACGTTCTTCTGTTGATCTCCCGTTTTAGCCGTCCATGGCATAAAAGCTAAGATTTTTGTTGAGTTGTATGCTTCCACTGAAGCAGATTTGTGACATGGAGTAAGATTTATTGGCCTTATGATATAATTAGATAAAGCTGCAGACTTCTTAATCAATTAGAAATATCACTCTTCCTTTAGTTTCCAACACAGCTTTAATGAGTAAGCAACCTAAACCATGCTTACTGTATGTTAGCAAAGTCACACCTCATCAGCTGTGTTTTTCCTATGGTGGCTTTGGTTACCTGCATCAGACTGCAAGTAAATTCAGCACAGAGATGCCCTCTGATTGCTTTTATTTTCTTTGCTCCTTTGCTGTGAAGGATGCGTACTCCAACATGATAATTTGCCCCAACACGCGTCAAAGCTTTAAAAAGTACCTGATGACAGAAGACCAAGTCACAAACTTTCCTCCACAGTAAAGTGACCCCACTGAGCGTTTGTGGGGTTTAACCCTTGTTATTTTTCTTTGCCATACTTTTTGTGAGACAAGGTTTAGAACAAGTACAAGTCCCATAATGCTTTACATTGTGAACTACAGTTTGAGCCCCGTTATTTTCACTCTCTGTGTTCACATAATGCCAAATTAGCACCAGTGAAAATTTCCTCAGTCAGCTGTCAGTAATTGCCATGAGCTGTGTACCCATAGACACTAATGCTGTGGACAGATTTGCTGCTACGTCTTTCTAGACAGAATCAGTTTCACTGCTTTTTACTGCGTCCAGACAGGCTTATATATAGTAAACTGCAGGACTACAGGACACTTAATCAGAGTTGATAAACTTGATAATGCTTCAGTGATATTGCCATGCATTTCATGTTAGAACATTGCTGGGTGTGGTGACAGTACAATAGCCCACAACAACCACACCAGCAACTACGGGGATACTGCAGAAAATTGAAATGATGTCAGAGCTCATTATTCACTGTATTAATGGCTTTTCACTAATATCCAGTTAATTCATTTCTGTTCTGTAATTGCTTTGTTATATTATAATGTTTAGTGAGAATGACACAGTCTGCTGAACCGTCAATGACTAGTCCAGTTAATGAGATCATTTTATCATCATTGTTTTTGTGTTGGGGAAAGAGTCAGACGTCGGAGCAGAATTAGTCTCTTGTCTGCTGTCGTAGCTGGAAAGACCCTCTATCCAAACCATTATGAGACTTTGTGTTTGGGTCCAGATGAATGTGTCTCTTCAGTACATTTCCAAGCTGTTGATGTGCTCTTAAAGGTCTTGCAGTTCAAAAAATGAAATACCGTGTATTTGATATCGAGCATATGTATATTGTATTTGCATTTAAAGAAGGGTTGACGGCATATAGTTTTAACCCTCTGAGGTCTAAGCCATCACTGGTGCTAAGCCTAACTCTATATTTTGGAGAACAACAGTGTTTGTGAAAATGATTATATCTCTTTGTCCTTGATTACCAAGACTTGGGAAATCAATTTTATAAAAACTTTTTATCTGGGATGAGCGTTAAGGTTAGGGTTGTTGACGATGAGGAGGTAAGATCTTCTCTTTTGTATAATGTCGCTGGGTCAATGGTTATTATGGTCATTAATTTCCAGTAAATTGTTTTGAAACTGAACTTATGCCAGATCTAATTGTGATGCTGTTTGGAGTTTTCACTGTAACA